GGAGAGAGAAAAAGGAATGATTTCTGCAAACACAGGGACCATGTCATCCCTTCTCCCCCACCTTCTCCCCTGTGGCTGGAAGTAGATCCCATCTCTTCCATCCCTCACAGTGCTGAAAGGCTGATGCTGGCCACATTCTGGTGTGACCCTGGCAGAAATTGGGGGGGCATGTGCCCCTGTGTGTCACCCATATGTTGCCCAGGGAACATGCTATCCCAGGTACCAGAAAAGGCAAGTGTGTCCTAGGGGACTAGCAAGGCATAGAGTGGTGGGGAGGGCTGGGCAAGGACGGTCAGATTGGTCGGTCATCCTTCTCCCCCTCCGTGTGAGAGAGGTGTAAGGGGGCACGTGTGTGTCACCTCTCCACATGTGTGGGGATAGGAAGATATGTCACACACACACATTTGTGGACCCTAAAATCTTAAAGATAAAAAGGTAACTTAAAAAGAATCCAACTATGCTATATTTGTTTTTAACAGGAGCTCAGCCAACATTAATTTGAATGTTTGTACTGTGTAGTTCTGATTGCTTGCCATTGAACTCACTTGAATACAACTAATTTTACCAGGTGTTCCGTATGTAGTAGAGAAATATGATCACCCTACCTTTAAACATTGTTTAAAATATTTATATTTAGAATAATAGTGACCTCACATCAAAGAAACATCTGCTGTCCTTTTACAGCTGGAAACATAAAGCATAGGAGTCTGCAGAGATATTCTTGCTAACGATGGGCATGTCTACACTACCCGCCAGATTAATGGGCTACAATCGATGCACTGGGGTTGATTTATCACATCTAGTATAGATACAATAAATCGACCACTAAGCACTCACTTGTTGACTCCAGCACTCCACTAGTACGTGGAACATAAGCAAAATCAACAGCAGCACATCTGCCACTCACTGCAGTGAAGACAAGTAGATCTACATACATTGACTTTAGCTATATTATTCACATAACTGAAGTTGCATAATTTACATTGATGGTCTGCTGTAGAGTAGACTCTGCCTCTGATTTGAACTTCGGACCAGAGTAAACATTGCTGCTTCTTTTTTTCTAAAGAAAACAAACATACACCACAAACCACTTCAAAAAGGATGTGGACGCATTGGAGAGGGCGGAGGGCAACCAAAATGATTAGAGGTCTGGAGCATATGACTTATGAAGAGAGGCTGAGGGAGTTGGGTCTGTTTAGTCTGCAGAAACGAAGAGTGAGGGGGGATATGATAGCAGCCTTCAACTTCCTGAAGGGAGGTTCCAAAGAGGATGGAGAGAAGCTGTTCTCAGTAGTGACAGGTGGCAGAACAAGGAGCAATGGTCTCAAGTTGTGGTGGGAGAGGTCCAGGTTGGATATTAGGAAAAACTATTTCACTAGGAGGGTAGTGAAGCACTGGAATGGGTTACCTAGGGAAGTAGTGGAGTCTCCATCCCTAGAGATGTTTAAGTCTCGGCTTGACAAAGCCCTGTCCGGGTTGATTTAGTTGGGATTGGTCTTGCCTAGATCAGGGGGCTGGACTTGATGACCTTCTGAGGTCTCTTCCAGCTCTATGGTTCTATGAAACATATTAAGCTAGAGGAAACTTCTGTTTTCTGTAGTGAAATCTATGCAGCTCTCTACACCATTTCTGAAACACATTTACTTCATGTTTACTATTACACATCCATTTTCTTATGTTGATTTGTATTTTCAGATCTTTCACTCTGCCTGCCTGTTATGCTTACTGGGTTTTTTTCCTTGCCCCTCACCCATTCAGGTTTTTTGTCTTCTGCAATATACTTTTTAGTCAATACTTTAAGGGACAAAGTAGGTAAGGTACCTTTTATATGTTGATAGAAGGGGCAAGCTTTCAAACTACACAGAGCTCTTCTTCACAACTGTAGATATGATAGATGATTTAAGACAATAAAATGTCAGCGATTCACCAGGATTAGTCTCTGGCATGCCGCCACCGCTATCCGTACTTGTGGAGGCACAAGTAAAAGCGATTGCAGCTCCCATTGACTGTAGATTGCCATTCCCAGTCAATGGGAGCTACAGGATGTGGCATGGATCAGGACACCACTTCCTGCAGTTCCGATTGTCCAGGAATGGCAATCCACAGCCAATGGGAGCTACAGTTTCTCATACCTGTGGAGGCACAGGTAAATACAATGCCGACGGCCCACTAGGAACTAACCTTGGGAACCAGATCAGGCCTGAGAGTCAGTATTTGCCTACCCCAGATCTAATATCTGCTCGTAGTTCACATTTTATGATAAGAGAAAATAATACAAAAAATAAGAGTCACAGAGATGGTTTTAGAGGTGACTTCTTAAATGTAATGTATTAGTTTGCCTTACTTGAACTATTGGCAGATCATAGATCATCTGTCACTTCTAGAGAGAAAATTAGGTCATGCAAAAGAAAATTACTGAATTGCAAAGAGATACATCAGTGAGGTGTCCACTGACTTCATTCAGTTCTGCATAGGTGGAAGGGTCTTCCCAGCAGATCTCTTTGCAGGATTCAGATTGTGGACACAGAACAACTTACTACAAAAGTACCCAATGGAGTGTTCATAACGGACAGTTCTTGAATAAAACTGGCAATTTGGAAACACCACATTTGGGTGGGATAGCCACAGGGGGGAATTGTTTTGATTTATTTTTTCAATTCCTTAGGGTATGTCTACACTTGCAGCCTAATTCAAACTAGGGCTGCAAATGTAGGCATTTTTAAATATCCCGCGCTTGATTTGCATCTTCCCGGCTGGGTGCCATTTTTTGAAATTTACAAGCCCGGAATAACTGCCCGCATCTACACGCGGCAGCGAAACGGGCATTCGAAATAAAGTCCTATTTCGAACTACCTGTTAAACCTCATTGCAGGAGGAATAACAGGTAGTTCAAAATAGGGCTTTATTTCGAACGCCCATTTCCCTGCTTCATGTAGACACGAGCAGTTATTCTGGGCTTGTAAATTTTAAAAATGGCGCCCGTCCAGGAAAATGCAAATCAAGCTCGGGATATTTAAATCCCGGGCTTGATTTACAATTCCGAATGCCTACATTTGCAGCCCTAGTTTGAATTAGGCTGCAAGTGTAGACATACCCTAAGGAATTGAAAAAATAAATCAAAACAATTCCCCCCTGTGGCTATCCCACCCAAATGTGGTGTTTCCAAATTGCCAGTTCTATTCAAGAACTGTCCTTTATGAACACTCCATTGGGTACTTTTGTAGTAAGTTGTTCTGTGTCCACAATCTTAATCCTGCAAAGAGATCTGCTGGGGAGACCTTCAGAGTTTTGATCCTACCTGTCGATATTAAAGGTCTGTAAGAATATCTAATAAAGGTTCTGTGTTTAAGACATCAATTATATCAATTTTCTTTTTCATACTATAATAATTTTTGTAGTGTGTGTAGACTTTAGAAGGATAAGGAATGAAGCAAGTATTGGGGGAAAACAGGTCTACTGTATACAAAAATCAAAGGAGCAACCTGTCAGATCTTTCTAACGCTACGTCTATACTGCACCCTTATCTCAAAATAAGCTATGCAATTTGAACTATGCAAATTGCATAGCTTATTTCAAGTTAATTTGTACACAGTGCCAAATTTCAAAATAGAGTGCTATCCCAAAATGTCCCTTAATCTTCTTGGAATGAGATTTACAGGGACATTGAAATAGCAAATCTGTTATATTTTGAAATAACAGGCTTTCTCAAAAGACACAAATGGCTATTTCAGGATACTTCCTCAATGAATTTCCTCAGTTGGGTTTCTCTGTATCTAAGGAGTCTCCACAAATTGTAATTGCATAAAAATTAGAAAACCTTTTTTGTTTTCTAATTATAAAATTAAGGCTTTTCTATCTCTGAGGCACAACCATGAAGCATCTTGTGAAAATGGTGAAAGCAGATATCAAAACTTACCATTGCCTAACTTTTGATTGGGAACTTGTTTGTTGTTTTTACTAACATAAACCTTACACCGGTGGCTCCCAACCTTTTCCAGCATACAGACCCCTTTTCTATCTATTAAAATTTTACAGACCCACCTCCCGCAAAAATATAGCTTTGCCTGCAGCCTGCACATCCCTCAGCCTGCTTGAGAAGCAGTGTGGGCTGAGGGACTTGCTGGCTGCCAGCACGGAGCCTCTCAGTTCCCCAACCTTTCATAGACCCCCTACAGTCCTGTCGCGGACCTCCAACAGTCCACAGACCACAGGTTGCGAACCACTGCCTTACACTGAATATTTAGTACCCAACTGTAAGTTAGGTTTAATTATTTTTTTTCAAACTTGGACAAAAAATTTCTCGTTACATTTTTTTTATATTGAAGAAGCTTTGAGATATCAAGCTCCTATTCAATATAGAGATCTGCTAAGCACAGGCCTGTGCACAGCCCCATTGAAGTTGGGTCTTCCCCAGGGGATACTGTTGTAAGTTTCATGGCTTTTAATCTTTTCATCATCAATATATCAAAATAGCTATCAGTAAATGACATAATGTACTAAACTTCTCTTTTGGGGGGGAATGTTTGCAGTGATCTAAACTGATATTCTGCTCCCTTCACATATGGGAAATCTGTTGACATCTGTGGGAGTTTTGCACATATAGATAGAGCAAAATAAGTGTGAAATGCACTAGCTGGTTCTGAGAAGTTGATTTCACTATGATATGTGAATCTCTTTATATTCTTCCTTCTTTAAGTTCTGAAATTCCCCATTTAAACACTGCCAGCTATGGAGGAAGCAAGACCTTTCTTGCTGGTACGGTATAGCTTAATAGCTTCTGGTGTAAGAGGTTTTCTTTTGTTGTTGTTATGGTTGGTTGTGCGTGTTCTGTTTGTACCGTGACCAGTTTTTTATTGTTTAATAGCATTTTATGGGCTCTGCTTCCATGAAGACATTTTTCTACTTTGTAGAGTTTCATTTAATCTCTCAAACAAACAGCGTCTTTTGAGCAGCCAAAGAACAGCTTGTTTGATTAATGATCATTTTTATCTTTTTAAAAGGATCCTTCCCGACCATTGGGGTGAAGTCTCTTTCGAGATTCCTGAGGGCGGGCTTTTTAAATAGCATCCCGGCCCCACATCCAGTCTCAGGGGTTGGATCTTTGCCACCCGGCATTTCCTCTGGTAGGTATTTCAGGTGAAGTTTCCTCCAACCCTTACTGAGGGAACAGCAACAAAATCTGTTAGGGGTAAGATAGAGAGGCTAATAGCTGTCTCAATAAATAACAAAAATAAGAGGATCTTTTCTATACATTAACCAGCCCGGTAGTATGGGACCTGACCATGGATGTATGTTGTAACAGGAGGAAGGAAACAGCCATAGTTAATAGGTTAATTGAAATATAAAATGAAAACTCCCAATGTTCTGTTGTTATTAAATATATATATGTAAATAGAAAATATAACTTAGAAACAGCTCTGGAAATTTCAGATTTGCTGTGTCTCTGAATGCTTGCATTAGTTCCAGGAAAGTTTCCATTTTCCTGCAAACAGAGAGGAAGTAGAAATTAATTACGCATTGAAATAAAACATGAGGAAAACAACTAACTTTGAACTCTATTTTAATATGTGTGTGAATTTTAAAAAAACAGGCAAGAGTAGTTTGTGTTTGTTTGGGATCCCTCCTACTTTAAAATAATGTGGGGGGTTTTATTGCGAAATGCTATACAGGAGTTTGAAAGAGAGTACAGCCCCACATTCCTTTTAAAAACACACACATACATATGTGCACACACCTTTCCTGTATCTTCAGCCCAGTGTTCTAAGAGTCCCCTACCTCTGTGTACTGAAGTGTAGTGGCAAGGATAATTAGGCTCTCCATCTTAGTTCAGGCAGTAATACAGAGCATAGTTCATTGTAACACTGAGAACAGAATGGAGGTGAAAAAGGAAGCATAGTGTAGTAATGAGATCACAACACAGTGAGTGGACTACCGTCAGGCTGAAGGGTGGGAAGAAAAAAATCCACAGGAATAGGCTGGTTTAGATACTGGGCTGAAGCAGGGAAAAGTAACAAACCGCAGGTGCAACTTTTCTCCAGAATGCAAGTTATCAGTCATCATCTAGAATCAGTAGGAGATAATTTTTAATTTGCTAGGATTTGGGGGGCTGGGGAGAGGGTAAGTTAGTAAGTTTCATGTAATTAATTTAATAGGCATCTATTTTAAAGTATGTCTAAAAGCAGAATTTAAATGCCATTGCTTTCCACACTGCATATTTCAATACAGAATGAATTCCTGTCTTAATGTCTTACTTCTTCCCTTTTTAGTAGGAAAATGACAACCTCCTGGAAATACGTTTTCCCTTTTTATAAACTACAGTTCATAGTTTATAAACTATAAATATCTGCTATAGTCACAAAAGTCTAATTAATTCATAAAACACTTTGGATTTTCTGTTTAAGGCAGGAAAGGTTATCTAGTGATGAGAGCAGGAAGGCTGAGCATAATGAAATCTGCCCTAGATTCCTTCTACCAACTGGAAAGAGAAATCTCCTGTCCTTCTGTACCTCAATGTACTTATTCATTCATTCTCTAAATGGGAAGTAACAGATAGTTTTGATATTTTCTCTAGTAAATGTTGGCCACTATACTAACCTGATAGGTGATGCTCATAGGCAATGGTTGTAAACACTTTGAGATCTTCCAATCTTCCAATTAAAAGTACTATTCAGGGTGGTTCTTAATATTTTTAAGAGTTATTACTAGTGTACTTCAAATATAGCCCATGCACTAGATTTCCATGACATTTTAACTATTTGGAGAATTTGAAGCATCTATATTATTCTGTTGAGGTCATTTGGGACAAGGATGACTCATGGATACCAAAGTTCTTAAAATTAATTACAAGCAGAATCTTTAATTCAAACTTGTTTAATTTACTTGTAAATTATTAGAAATTTAATTCTGTACTCCAAAAGTAAGTGTTCTTAATTTTGAGAACGATACCTTTCATACAAAATGAAGAGACAATCCTTGCTTTAGGTGGAAAATGGAACTGAGCATTTAAATCTGGAATAATTACCAGTTTCCATAATGAACACCTAGAGAACAGGTTGTTAAGAAAGTTGTGTCAAAAGTGTTTTGGGATAAAATGAAACTAATAATAACAACTGACTTTTCTCTTTCACTGAACATAAAACGTTGCCTTTTATCATTGCACAGGTGCTTCATATTCACTTTTGTAGAATTTGGTATTTGGCTTTGCATCCCTAGGGAATTCCATTAGGTCAAAGATAATTAACTTCAAGCTTAGTTTGGGGTGCAAAGAAGCCCCTTTGCAATTGGTTATCTGACCCTTTGTATTGAGACTTGTCAAAACTTTTTACTTGCTTCCACAATTACAAAACTTGGTAGCATTTTAATGACTAGACTTACTTATTCTAATGTTCTGTCAGTGCTTGCATTCAATGGCCTCATTAAAGTCTTTCATGGATTGCTAGCACTTTTATTTGGGAAGCATGTTTTTCATTCGTCTTGAAAATACTCAACTGCTGTTTACAAAATCAACTCATTTTCTCACAATAACTTCCTTGACTTGGCTGTCTGTTATGTCCCAAACAATGTTGTCTCCTTTTAGTCCATCTGCTAACAGTTCAAATTCACTTGACTCAGTCTTAGGGTATGTCTACACTTGCAGCCTATTTCGGAAAAGGGCTGCAAATGTAGGCATTCGGAATTGCAAATCAAGCCCGGGATTTAAATATCCCATGCTTGATTTGCATCTTCCTGGTTGGGCGCCATTTTTTTTTTTAAACTTACAAGCCCGGAATAACTGCCCGCGTCTACACGCAGCAGTGAAACTGGCGTTCAAAATAAAGCCCTATTTTGATCTACCTGTTAAACCTCATTGCAGGAGGAATAACAGGTAGTTTGAAATAGGGCTTTTTTTCAAACACCCATTTCACTGCTGCGTGTAGACGTGAATAGTTATTCCAGGCTTGTAAATTTAAAAAATGGTGCCCTGCCAGGAAGATGCAAATCAAGCGCGGGATATTTAAATCCTGGGCTTGATTTGCACTTTCGAATGCCTACATTTGCATTCCTATTCCGAAATAGGCTGCACGTGTAGACATATCCTTACGTAGGTCTGTAATGTTAGTGGTTTGTGGTCTCACATGGCAGCTGTTTTTCTGTAAAGACAGTGAACCTTTCTCAAGTGACATTCATGTGTAGATTTAAGTATTCCTGAAAGCCCTTGTCTAACAATTTGTGGTCCTCTCCTTCTCTCGCTGTAAAGAATTGTGAATTCACCATCTTTGATTCTTCCTTAGTGCCATTTGCGTGCAAGAAAATTTGGAAATGCTCTATTCGCCTCCTCAAATTCTCATTCTTCCATACATGAGTGCTGTAAGAGATTTATGTTTATTTCTTGGCCTGAGTCAAGTAATATGGGTTAGGGTTATAAATGTTTGTACCTTTGCCATATGGCATGGTCCACTGTATTGGCTAGTTATACACACACATTTTCAGTTTTCCTACTTTCATCATTGGAGACTTAATGACCAGTGGCTGATCCTGCTGCTATAGAGTGGAGAAAAACAGGTAACACTGTCAGTGTCTCCTTCATAGCTGATTCTTCTCTCTGATAGTAATGAGTGTGAATGTAAGTCAGCAGGAGAGACTATGACAAGATCCTAGTTTAGTTGCCAGAACCACTACCAGAATAAACTGAAGATGATGAGGGTAGGGACTTTCAGTCCCAGAAAATCCGGCTGAAGCCCTGTCCTTTAGGGCTTATGGCATGGCCTGTACAGCCTCTGATGTGGCAAGCGAGGCAGAAAGGATGGTTTATATATTTTTTTTCTGTGCAGTAAAAACACTAGCTAATTAATCCTCCTAATACCTCTGTCAGTTAAGCATTCAACCATTTTACAGCTCAGGAAAATGGACGCAGAGGGGCTAAGTCAAGGTAAACAGCATTTGCTCTCATGGGCCTCAAAAAATTATTTATGTTCAGGAAACCTATGAGATTGCATTTTCCTAAAGTCAATCAAATAGATCTAATGAAAACTAATGCAAAATTGGTATTAAACTGTGTAGGCAGGGAACAATAATTCTGCTGGACACTTGCATCTCTGTATTGGCTGTAAGCATGTCATCTAAAATCCATCAAAGTAAATTTAAATACTCCCATTGACCTCGGTGGGACCAAGGTCCAAGTGGGTTATTGAGGTGCAGGACAGTTTCCTGTGGCATACAGCACCATTTTTAGACAAATGCCAGAATGTTTGTGGCAGAAATAATTTGTATTACCTGGGTTCAGAGATAGTGGAAGCAAGATTACTATTCTGCACAAAGGGAAGTTTAAGCAGATCTTGTATGGAGAGAGAGTGCTTACATACCCAGCTCCACTGATAAATGAATTGTGCAGCATTTAAAAGAAATTCATAGGCAATGAGAGGAATATTCTGGTTCAGCAACTTTTGTTAGTTTTAGATAGGAAACCAAACTTCACTTAGCCTTTTGAACATTTACCTATAATTAGTGAAGCAGTAATAATTAGCACAGTAATTATTGGTCTCTATTGGCAGTGATAATTGCATCTTGTTTCTGGCCAGTGTGTATGGGGGAGGAAACAAGCAACACAAGTGCTGTCAAAATGATAAATGAAAAATATATAAACAATACTTTGACATATAGTGTATTCAAGATAAACAGGACATGACCAGGAATTATGTGACAGATAACCTAAGCTTTCACTGACCTTTCACAGAACAATAGAAGTAATATGTTTACAAGGTTGAGCACTTCTTGGGATATTTATAAGGACGCAGAAGTATGCTTTCCTGCTATACTAAACTTGCATTTTTTTGCTGTTGGTTTTCCTTAAATTTCTGAAACCTGTAATTTTGGCGAAAGGTTGTGGTTTTTTTAATTTAATGAATTTTCCTGGCCACAGGTACAATGTAAATTCGTATCATGTTTCTGTTTCTTCTTATATCTTGCTGAGTAGCTCTTGTTTATTATGGAGCATTGAATATTGATGGTGCATAGGAGCCTTTGATATGCAGATGTCACTTTGTTTACACTCCGTGACATACTGTGAGGTCAATAGAGCAAGTGACCCCTTATGCAATGAGACTTCATTTGGGGAAGAAATCATGTCCCTTACCCTTTTTACAGG